TGCCAAGGTCTTCAGGGAAGAAGGTCAGTGTACAGCAAGGAAGGAGACCAGATATGACAAGACTCTGGGTTGATGGAGACAGGAGAAGTCAGCTCTCAGGGCTGTGGTGATAACTCCAAAGCTATGAGACCCTGGAAGGGGGCTGAACTAGGAGGACAACTACCAAACAGTGCCTTAAAACCCAACAGAAATTTGACTGTGGGAATTGGAAGTGATAAATGAGCCCAGTTCACCAATTAAACACTACTGGAACTGCTGTTCAGACACAAAAAAAAAAAGCACTGGAGCTATACAAATATTTTTCCTTCTCTTAAGGAAACTCTATAATCAGTGTTTGAAAAAATGAAGTCTTTCTGTAGTTCTGGACTGAATCTCTGTGGTATTTAGGAGCTCGGAGCTGCAGAAAACCAACCTGTCCACTGCTAGCTCCAGCTGTGGCACTGGCGAAGTAAATTGTCACAAGTTCCCAGAAGACACCATCACGGATTGCTGATTTGCCAAATCTCTGTACAAATGAGCTCTGCAGCATCAAGAGAGAAGGCACAGGAAAACTCGTAACACATTCAGGTCTTCTTTTATAAAACTCTCAGCTGAAGTACCAACAACCACGGAGATTTTCAAGCCAGTGATCAGGTTAAAGGTCTACACCACGGGGAGACGAGAGCGCGGGAGTGTTTGTGGTTCACATACAGTATTTTAGGGTATGTGATGTTTACACTGATAGTACCCAGAAGGGAGGGCAGTGTTGGCCACTGAATTGGAAACAGGCAGCTACAGTGGAAAAATAGCATGTGAGTATCTGGTGAGTGACAGTTGCACTTGACATTCTACAAGCCCCTTCAGTGCTGCAGCTTTGCAAAGAAAAGAGGGGGCAGCAAGCTGCTCATAAACCACAGCTTCATTTCACACCGGAAAAGCTGTACGCTATTGTCTCAACATTTGTTTTTCCTCTGGTTGAAACAAAAAAAGTTTGTGATTTGTGACTAAAATTTGAAATCTTCATTAAAACTTTCCATTCCTCCTTAGGAGAGAGATCCTTCAGAGGTTAACAACAGGAAGAATCAGCAATGCTGAAGCAAAACCAGTGTGGTGTCACTGCCAGAGTTACCATCACTGATTACTTGCAGGGATCAAGCAGCACCTGCTCATCATCAGCAACGTTGCCTCGTTGCCTCGCAATGGGAAGTCCCTCTGAAGCACTATGAGGAGACTGGGCAACAGAGCACTATGGGCAACAGAGAAACAGACCTGATAGAGCACAGTCATCTTGCTGCTCCTTTTGGTCTACCAACCATCACAGCATAACTCCCATGTCCTGAGATGTGGTCCTGCTGCCAGTCACGCAATACTGGGAGACACCCGTGAGATGTCTGATATTACTGAAGCTAAAGAGTTTCTTACCACTATGAAAAAGCCACCACGATCCTTCCACACAATGACTAAGAAATCAGTCATATCCGAAACTTGGCGTCTCCTCCAGCTCTGATGCCCCAAGCTCCCTCTCATTTCCTCATTTCCCATCTCTTCTTTGTTAGATGGATGTAAGCAAGCACAGACAAAATTAATTCTAAACTCACCTCTTGCCAAGCCCCATTCAAAAAAGGCGAACCCTTGTCAGTCTGTCTCTTTCCTGCATCATTTTGTCTCTTCTCTCCTTGCTCCTGTCCCCTTCTGTTGAATTGCTTGGTATTAATTTAATACAGACCTAGGCTGGCCTTAGCATGGAATGATAAACGTTGGTCACAAGCAGCTTAGGCTGAAGTTCACCAGCAATTGGAGCCCTGCAACTTTAGCTATGAGCAAAACGAAACTTATTGGTAGGTTTGGGAGATAAAAGACATTACCTTCTACAGTCTAAGCAATGTGTCTGGTCTCCTGACATCTCTTGTATGATGCTCCACAGAAGTAAGTGGTTGTCTGAGTCCTTTCTTCATCCTTAGTCATATCGTAACTGTGGCACTACAACAGAAATTACTAATAAAACATGTTATTAAATGCTAGTGTGTTTCACTGATTTTCTTAGGTCCTCAGTCTAATAACGACAGCTCTATTGCAAAATATCATCTAGAGGACAAACTGCCAAACCAGGGCATGCTAAAGTTAAAGAAATTCCTTAATTAATCTGATTAACAAACTACTCCCCGTTTTGGAGTAGGTCATCAATATAAAACTTACATATACTGATCCAAATTATTTATACAAGTATTGATTTTAAATTAGAGCTTTTTCAGAAGCTCCTGCTTGGGCCTGGAGCTTTTTGTAATCAAATAATTGCCATTGCAGCTGTTTTATTTGGTCTTATTTGTTACTATGGGAAATAGAAACGTCTCTGTGCTAAGTGAGACCTAAATACCAAAGCCAGAAAAAAAATGATCCCTGTACCAGCTGACTTATTATTTAGGAGACATGAGATGGGGACACAGGAAAGGGGAGGTTTCACCTGATCACAGAGATGTCTCCATCAGAGCTACGCTTCCCTGAATCCAGGCCCTCTATGGCCAACAAAGCGTGCCCCTGCTGAAAAGAGATGCGTGACAGCCCACCTGCAGCTACAGCTCTCCACTGACAATAAGCTTTTCTCTTGCCTTAAAAGAATATATTCATTAGCAGTTTACTGCAGGCAGCAGAAAGGAATAGCTCCCCCTGAAGCCATCTCCTCTCGGAGACTCCCCAACGTCACCCTTGCCCAGCACAATGGGCAAGCGTCAGAAGACACAGGGGCTGGTGGTATCTTCCACATAGTGGTGAGTCACAAAGCGCTTCAGCAAATGAAAGTATGAAGAGAAAAAGGAGACCTCTGAATGGTGACGCAGGGTATGAACGTGACAAAGGAAACGACATGGAAACCGGCTCAGTCTGTGAGCCATGAGGACCAAGATCAAGGACATCTCTAAACCCAGAAGAGGAATCTCGGAGCTCCAGCTTGGTACCCCGGACTGATACATAATAAAATTTACCATTTAATTAGAGACAAGAGAGAAGTAAGATGTGCCTACTAAGAAAGGCAATAGCCCTTCCTGGATGATCCTTTAATTGTATAGATTCTCCTAGCACATCCATCACTACGTCTCTGAGGACACACACTACATGCCGTAGTTAAGCATCTATGCTCTACAGCAGAGTGAGAACCTAGTCCTGACAAACATTTGATCCATCTTCATTTTCCAGCATGTTCACTTCCATTTCAATTGTAATGAAAAACAGGAATCAGGAATTTTCCTACTTTGGTCTTGGGAGGGTTGTGCTTTTGAAAATGCTTTTGAAATTTCATTTTCTGTCACTGAATTGTAATAGTGATGAAAGCAGGGGGCACTCACACAACAATCCTGATGGATGGCAGGAACCCGCTCACTTCAGCATCTCAGAAAACATGAGACTCAACCGCAGTCACCTACAAGGCATGTCCATAGTTTCAGTTCCTCACCTATGTTCCTCCATCAGCACGTGAAGACAAGCACTTCCCAAGAGCAGCTTATCCCACTGTAAAGGGAGGATTAATTCTACTCAGAATAAGGACAATAAACTGCCCATTGAAACCAGAGGGAGCCTATCCAAATAACATCACTTGATGTCTCATCTGGACATGGCTGGAGCATTAAAAGGCGACATTTACTTCAAGTCTGACATTCACATTTGCTTGACAGTATTTTGAGATCCAGATCCTTGCAATGTTATTTAACTAATAAAATCTAATTTATCTTTATTTTGCTTATCTTTATCTGCTCTATTTCAGGTAGACATCTCAAGTTTCACAGCCTCATGAAAGTATGAATTTCATACATCTCAGCAGGCCTAACAGCAGCTTTCCTCACTCACCAACACGCTCTGATGCCCAGTGAAATAAACCCAGGTCCTAAGCCATTTTCCGTAACTCATCTCTAAGCAGCAGCCACAATAGCAGTGGCATCAAAGTCAGCAGCACCTGGTTTCTCACATGCCCAAGAAAAGGGGACTTTCTTTGCAAAGGAGTAATAGAAAAACACCTCGCACAGGAAAATAAACAGCAGAAAATCCAGGAGGTGACAAATGAATAAATAAATAATTCAGTAGCCCACGGCCTCACAGTCTGGTGAAACTGTCGCTGTTGTATGTGTACAGCTCCAGGCAGTCTGGTGAAACTGTCGCTGTTGTATGTGAAAAGCATCACCCATATCTGTGTGCAAGTGGTCACCTGGAGGCAGCAGCAAGGGCCCTCTCCGTTGAAGCATGCAAGGGTTTTTCTGGCAGGGCGGAAGCCTCTGTGGTTAGAGAAGAAAACCACAAGATGTTAAAAAAAAAAGTAAGAAAAAAAAAAAGGCATATCCCTGGGGCATAAAGATGTTAAAAAAAAAAGTAAGAAAAAAAAGGCATATCCCTGGGGCATGGGTTTTTTTTTTTTTTTTGGTGGGTTTCAGATCACAGACCACCTGCCTTGCACAAAGCAGCTTTTGCAAAGCAATTGCAAAGAAGAATTGCAGAGAGAACAGTCGGACACCTGAAGCACTCAGCTGTGTGCCAGCAACACATGTGCTCAGAGGTAGAACACACGCATGGATTCATGCCATGAAACACCCCTGTCTTGCCCGCTGAGTAATAAAATACCCTGTGCTCTGCCACCCGCACCAGACCCCTTGAGTGCGTGCGAGAGAAGGCAGCAGGATCTCTGCCAAGAAACACAAGCTGCGGCCTGCAGCCAAAGCATGGGGCTTGTCCATGACTTCTGCAGAGCTGGAGCTGCTGTGAACCCCCAGACGGCTGGGAGACAGCAGGCTGTAGCCACTGATCCTACCTCAGGCATGGGCATCATCACCCTGAATCTCTACAGAGGTCAGAGGCAAAATCTTTGAGGCACCATTAAGAATCAATAACAATAAATGCACCCAAGTTCTGGATTAGAACTAAATTTCTTCAGATATCTTGGGTTTTTTCCCCTTCATTTTCTCACCAATGCCGAACACCGTCTCTTTACCCAAGAGGGTCCTGATGACATCACATCCTCTCCGAAAAGCAATGCAGCCTCCCAAGTCAAGCGACAAAGACCATCTTGGCTCTGCTGCACCGTCCCGGTGGACGGCCACCTCTAGGAGAAGATGGCCAGGTCTCCTGTGCTTCTCCTGCTCGCTCTGGGATTCTGTGAGTACGGACACAGGGTTGTACATCACCTTCATTGGGAAGGACACTGATTCCAAGAAACTGGGCTAACTAGCTAAAGGGAATAGTTAAAGGGAAAATAAAAAGCAAATTAAAAAGGCTGACTTTGAGGTTTTCTCAGTAATTGTGGAGTTAAAGGTGGTTTCTCCTCAGCCAGCATAGGACAGCCGGAGGGGTGGCTGAATCGGGAAGGGAGTCCAGTCAGAGAAGTGGTTCTGGAGGGGAGGAGAAGGGAAAAAAAGGAGATTTAATGTTCTTAGTGAATCACTTCAGATAATCTGGGAAGGGGTACCATCCCCGAGAAGGGAGCTGAAAGGCAACACCGGTCTTTAAAGCCCGAGTGGTTGAGAGCTAAGCATCCTCCACACACAGTCCCAGAAAGGACTCCATTTGACTTTGCACCTGGTGGGCAGGGAACAAGGTTTGCCAGGAGGAGATGTGGCTCTTCCCAAGTGTTTACCAAACAGATTTCTCTCCCACAGGCTGCCCTGGGGTCCGGGGGCAGAGGTACGATATGGAGGCCAGGTTTCGAGACAGAAGCATCACACACCCCCAGGTGGGACAGCAGCTGGAGCTGGAGTGTCAGACTCCCAAGGAGGACAGTGGTGCATTCTGGATCCACCAGGACAAGGGTGGGAGCCTTCACTTCATCGTCTTCATCTCTTCCCTGTCCCGGACCACCTTCAGTGGAAACCAGAAGACATCCAAACGCTTCGAGGCAAGCAAAGACGGCAAGTTCTACCGGTTGGTAGTGAAGTCTTTCACGCCGCAAGATGAGGGAAACTATTTCTGCCTCGTGAACAGCAACCAAGTGCTGTACTTCAGCCTTGGTCAGCCTGCCTTCTTCCCAGGTCAGCAACACCCCCACCCAACCTTGCTTAGCTCTGCCAAAATGCCCAGCACCTCCTGTCCATGCCTTTTTTAACCAATCAACTCTCCCACAAACCCTATTTTCCCTGCTTGCTTGCTCAAGGCATCTTGTGACCAACCCACTGGTCCTCCTGCCAGAGGCTCCCTGCTTGCTGGCTCTTCTCATGGTCTCGCTCCTGCCAAAAGGCAAAAACAATCAGGCAGACCCAGCATCAAGTCCCCATCCCCACTTCTCCATCCCATTTATGGCTCTGAAGGGATAAGACAAAAGCAAAGCCCACCACCACTCCCTCCTTCCTCAGCTTGCATAGGTCTCCCAAAAGTCCTACCAACCTCGGGGTACTCAGGCTTTCTGAGGGTGGTGGCAGAAAGCAAGAACTAAGGAGCCTGCAGCTTCTTAATGGGTCTTGGGAGACCCTCCCTGGGGGAGTCACCATCCAAAATGGGCTCTACAAAGTCCCCCCAGACTTGAGCCCTACACTGGCCACAGGAGCAGCCATGCCCTGGCAGGGGTGGGAGAGCAGAAGTGCAGGAGAGAGCTATTTTATTGTATTTCCCTAGATGCTGTATTCATCCATTTTCACTTATAGTCACCACCACAGTGGCACCCACTACACCAGCACTCACCACCCAGAGTGGCATCACCGAAAAGGACCCCTGCCCAAGGACCCCGGATACAGGTAGCCCAGCTGCAGGGAGGGAGGGAGGGGGGAAAAGGTGGGCTCTGGTCCACTGATACCAAGGGGGGATCCTGCAGGAGTTTTGGGATGAGGGGAGAGGGAAAAATCCTTAGAGGTTTACCAGAGTTGGATAACTGGGTACATGAGCTGGGAGGGTTACACCACAACATTTCATCCCGTGTATGAAAGGCTAAGCATAACTTAAAAAGCACAAGGAATATCTTATAACTTGGTACATTGGGAAGAGGTGGAAGGAGAGCAGAACTTTGGGGGCTGGGGCTGGTTTTAGCTTTGGCAGGGGACACGAGAAAACTTCTGGCTACGTGTCCTCCCTCAAGTCCCCAGGAAAATGCCATGGAGGCCAGGTTTCGAGACAGAAGCATCACACACCCCCAGGTGGGACAGCAGCTGGAGCTGGAGTGTCAGACTCCCAAGGAGGACAGTGGTGCATTCTGGATCCACCAGGACAAGGGTGGGAGCCTTCACTTCATCGTCTTCATCTCTTCCCTGTCCCGGACCACCTTCAGTGGAAACCAGAAGACATCCAAACGCTTCGAGGCAAGCAAAGACGGCAAGTTCTACCGGTTGGTAGTGAAGTCTTTCACGCCGCAAGATGAGGGAAACTATTTCTGCCTCGTGAACAGCAACCAAGTGCTGTACTTCAGCCTTGGTCAGCCTGCCTTCTTCCCAGGTCAGCAACACCCCCACCCAACCTTGCTTAGCTCTGCCAAAATGCCCAGCACCTCCTGTCCATGCCTTTTTTAACCAATCAACTCTCCCACAAACCCTATTTTCCCTGCTTGCTTGCTCAAGGCATCTTGTGACCAACCCACTGGTCCTCCTGCCAGAGGCTCCCTGCTTGCTGGCTCTTCTCATGGTCTCGCTCCTGCCAAAAGGCAAAAACAATCAGGCAGACCCAGCATCAAGTCCCCATCCCCACTTCTCCATCCCATTTATGGCTCTGAAGGGATAAGACAAAAGCAAAGCCCACCACCACTCCCTCCTTCCTCAGCTTGCATAGGTCTCCCAAAAGTCCTACCAACCTCGGGGTACTCAGGCTTTCTGAGGGTGGTGGCAGAAAGCAAGAACTAAGGAGCCTGCAGCTTCTTAATGGGTCTTGGGAGACCCTCCCTGGGGGAGTCACCATCCAAAATGGGCTCTACAAAGTCCCCCCAGACTTGAGCCCTACACTGGCCACAGGAGCAGCCATGCCCTGGCAGGGGTGGGAGAGCAGAAGTGCAGGAGAGAGCTATTTTATTGTATTTCCCTAGATGCTGTATTCATCCATTTTCACTTATAGTCACCACCACAGTGGCACCCACTACACCAGCACTCACCACCCAGAGTGGCATCACCGAAAAGGACCCCTGCCCACGGACCCCGGATACAGGTAGCCCAGCTGCAGGGAGGGAGGGAGGGGGGAAAAGGTGGGCTCTGGTCCACTGATACCAAGGGGGGATCCTGCAGGAGTTTTGGGATGAGGGGAGAGGGAAAAATCCTTAGAGGTTTACCAGAGTTGGATAACTGGGTACATGAGCTGGGAGGGTTACACCACAACATTTCATCCCGTGTATGAAAGGCTAAGCATAACTTAAAAAGCACAAGGAATATCTTATAACTTGGTACATTGGGAAGAGGTGGAAGGAGAGCAGAACTTTGGGGGCTGGGGCTGGTTTTAGCTTTGGCAGGGGACACGAGAAAACTTCTGGCTACGTGTCCTCCCTCAAGTCCCCAGGAAAATGCCAAAAGCAGTGGCACTAATGAATGCTCATTGCTGGGGATGACACCCATGCTGGGCTTGTGGACACCCCTGGTGCCCATCTCTGCCTTTGCAGGCCAGAGGGACCCCTCTGCTTCATCACCAGCCTCACTGAAAGCCAGGCAGGTCCCCTTAGCTCCACCACAGCTAGCTGTACGCCAGCCGTGAGCACCTGGTGGACCTTTCCTCTTCTCTATTTCTGCAGAGATCAGCAAAGAGACGAATTTCTTCTGTAACATCTTCATCTGGGTTCCCTTGTCAGGCGCCTGCCTCCTGCTCCTCCTCGCCCTGGCAGTCACCATCACCCTGTGTCAACGTAAGACTCACCCATAACCCCCCCTAGATATTCCTCTAGCCTGAAACTGCAGCCCTGTCCTTCAGAGGAATGGATCTCCTAGCTATCCCCTTTACATAGACACCAGATAGCCAGGACACAGTCAGTGCAAGAGAAGGACCACTGTTAAAATCTATGTCTGTATTTTCCTCATCAGTAGGCTTGGGCTGAGAAATAATTATCAACTTCTACACTACAAGGAAGAAAAATAAATTACTAATAGAGAAAGTATTATCAAACCATATTGGCTCTCCAATCCTTAAATTGGTATAGCAGACAGGAAAAGCACCAGAGCCTGAAACACTTTGACCAAACAGGGTAAACATGCTCCAGCACAGGGCTCGCAAATTCAAATGCTGTAACCAAACGAGCACAGGATTACACAGGATCAGAGACTGCTATGGCTAAAGCAGTAATGCAAAATCTCTGGGTAGGCAAAAGTCCTTTGGTGAAATTCCATGTTTGAAATATCTTTAAATTACCCTGAGCAAGCAGTGAGTGCAAATGTATTTAAATCAATTTAATGCTCACTGAAATCAGTTTAACTTTTCTGATACCACCAGAAGTTACACCGATTTCACAAAACTGGCTCAGCTCATTTGCCTGAACACCAAAGTGTTTTGCTGCTGAATTAACCTAATCCTCACTGACCTCACAGCCTAGAGCCAATATGAGATAAATTTACCAGCTGACACAGTTTTTAAAAAAGTACAATTTTTCAGCATCCTTCAGCCTTGGAAATACTAATCAGCATAGTCTGCAGCAATAGGAAAGAATACGTGAAAAAACACTGATGAGCCACAACCAAAAATCATTCTTCTTGAGGGAAATAGCTGGCAATGCAGCAGAGCACCCAGAGATGGTCTAAATTCCCTCTGAAGTCACCGGGAGCCTTCCATGTGCACCAGGATTGCCCCATGACCCGCAACACCATTAACCTACAAATGCCACTCAATGATTATTTCTGCCTTTTAATGCTGATGTGAATTATCAGCAAAAAGCCATTAGCTGCAATTAATTTCTGCAGTAGGCAGCCCGAGATCTCAAGGACAGATTTTTACCTTGTGCTAAAACTAATGGCTAGACATTGTATTTTGCCGAATACATCCCAAAGTAATAACACAGATGCTAAAATGGGGGAAAGCATCGTTCAGCTTGGTTGAGTGCTGTGTGGCATCATTGCCCTCACCTGCTGCAGAAATTGATTGCTGCCAATGGATTTTTAGCAACATGCCAGTCGCCTGAGACAGTAAAAAGGAAAGCATCGTTCAGCTTGGTTGAGTGCTGTGTGGCATCATTGCCCTCACCTGCTGCAGAAATTGATTGCTGCCAATGGATTTTTAGCAACATGCCAGTCGCCTGAGACAGTAAAAAAAAAAAAAAAAATTAAAAAAAATCCCCATCAGCATTCCCAGGCTGACCCTGCTACTGTTACTCACATGAAAATTTAATTAAAGAAAATACCTAAGCAGACTGCCAGGGGAACGTGAGCTGCAGCACCACTCACTTATGTGGATTTCTTCAAAAATAAGCTCAGTTTACTGTTTCTTTATGGACCTGTGACTTGGCATCTTTGAACTGTTTTCTTTTTTTTTATTTATTTTAGAAACCAGAAGACGAAGATGCAGGTGTAAAAGGTTAGTAAGTGACAGGTGCTGACAGTTTCCCTCTTACACTCAGCAGCATCTCACCCTCAAGCAATAAAGCCAGCAGCTGCCAAAAAGCCATCTACAAATTCTTCATCCAATATAGGGTGGATGGGAGGGGACTGGGTAATGAATTAAGGGCAAAAAAGAGAGAGAAGAGTCTCTTGTCCTGTGGAGTTGTTTTGGTTTTTTTTTTTTTAATATTAAGTAAGTTAAATCACTGAGCACTGCCACTGTAGCAGATACTAAACAGAAAGACAAGAGGTGTTTGTGGCAGCCTAAGAAGTTTGTGTAGGGAAGTGCTGGGAAAAGCTGGGTTGCAAGAAAATTTGGAACAGGATTGTCCCACTCCTGGAGCCTTATTCTTTGCAAATCAACCACCTTTTTAAATCAGGTGAATTTGTGTTCCCTGTTATACATCCATGGGTCTCGTAGTAAAAAAAGTTACTAGTTTTTTAGCTGCCCAAATTAATATGATGACTCAGAAAGAACCTTCCTCCTTCTCCATTAACAGAAAATGGATAACTACAATTTAATGTGTTTTTTTAAAGGCAGAACACATCAGAAATCAGTGCCTGAATAATAATGATGATGAAGGGAAGAAGCACTGAGTGGCAATGCCTTCTGCCCTCCGGAAGGTGCAACATTTCGCTGTGCATGTCAGAATACAGCCACCCCTACACACCTGCATGTTCTTTTGCCCATCTGAAAAAGGGAACGGCTTCTCAATTTTTACAATGGATTTTTATTATTATTACCCAGCGCTCTCCTGATGCTCACCTGCCTTTCCAACAGCTAAATGATAACGAGGTGCTCTCGCCGCCTTGTTTAGGACAATGCTTGCATTCCTCACTTATCTCAGTCCCTGGTGCCAGCCCTGCACCAAGATGTTCTGTCCCTAAGGAGAAAAACAGGCTGCAGAGCTCGTCAATTTTGCCCTGGTGGAGCAGTTGGGTTACAAGCCCCTCAGGAAATCCTCTCATCGAGGACAGATCTCCTTCGGCAGCCTTCTGGTTTAAGCAATTGTAACATATTTAAGCTTTTATTTAGAGAGGAAATTCCTGCTGCTCCGAGCAGTTCCCAGTTATTGAAATGAAGCTCTTTGGAAGTTAATAGCGCAATTCACCCAATTAAAGAGCGCCTCAGGATCTGGCCTGGGATTTTTGCTGGCAGCTGAAGGATTCATTTTCCACCACAAATTAATCTTCAGTGAAAACGGGTGCCAAATCTCCAACTCATTAAATCAGCATAAAACTATCAGTTGCTGGATACCAGTAACTTCCATCATTTCTGGGACATGCTGGTAGTCTAGAAAGCCTCCTTCTAAACTTGTCTGCAGGAGGCTGGTTTGCAACAAGAAAAAGTCCTTACAAACTGGTAACAGCTTCCCCAACTCCAAAAAAAACCTGAGCTTTTCTTCCCATTTCAGCTCCCAGCATTTCTGAGTGTAGAGAAAGGCTTGATGAGGGCAGAAATGTGCAGAAATCAGAGGCAAATTTAAAAAATTTTTTTTTTCTAAATTAGTGTAACAATTGATTAGCAGTGTATCTTAAGAAAGAGGATTTAGGAACACTGCAGCCTGCTCTTTGAGGTCCCTGGCTGCAGATGCAAGGTCAAGCAAGCTGATCAGCAGCCATACATTAACTGCCTTCTTGTTCCTTTTACATCAAAGTGACTCAAAACCTTTTCTCTCTCCAGACCTGCAAATGGGAAGCCCAACGCCAAAGCCAGCGTGCCGAGCCGACACGTATAAGCAGCTGCACCTTCTGGATCATCTTCTGGGAGCTGTTGCTCCACAAGGCCATCACCTATGTTATCTATACTGCTACTAATTCTCATGCACTCTGCCTTGACACATTTGAAAAGAAGGATGGAGCCGACACACGGACAGCAAGCAGGCACTTTTTCTGTCAACTGCACGCTGAAGCACAGCTCCTTCCAAAAACTGAGATTTTGCAAATTAATTCCCCAGGCCAAATGCCACCTCTGTTCCCAATGACAGAGCTCTGTGGTTCAGGCAAAAGAAAACATCCTGATGCTGACGTGTATCAGCAATAAGCTGATGAGAAATAAGGATGTTAGCTGGATCTTTCCTCAGGAGTGTATAATTCTTTCTAAAATGCAGCTAAATGTTGAATTTGCTACCAGATTACTTAGACATAAACCCCCTCACTTAACAGACCCTCTTTTCTTGGTGCCAATGTATCTGCTAAGGGTTTTACTGTTCATCTAATATAACACAAAGCTGCACTGAGAGGGTAAATACTGATTAAAGGGCCTTGCTTTTAAAGTTCTTACAGCCCTAGGGGCTAAGGTTTATTCTGTTTCCCTCTTGCTATCCTTCCTTGCTATCCTACTTCCACTGATTTCAGAGGTTTTGCCTGAGCAAGGAAGGTGGAATTTTCTTTCTTTCTGGAAGAAATGTTTGAGTAGTGAAAAAAACCAGTCTTTGTCACTTGCTTTGTTTAAGCAGGACTTTCAGCCTACCTTCTTGGGACATGTTCATTGACTACAATGAGTTCTGTTTTTTCCGCTCTCTATTTGTATTTGATCCTTACTACACTTGCACATCACAACCTGAGAAAAAAAAAATAAAACAATGGTTTTAGTTGGACTCACTAATGTTTATTTCTTTATTCAGTTCCTAGCCTCAAAAACGCTAAAAGCCTTCATGCAAATAATAAATGAGGGTTTGAGGACATCTTCGGTAAGAGAAAAGGCAGTGATTCACATACCAGCCTGAGCTTTAAGATGCCAGAGCTCAGCTTCCAGCTTACCACTGCCTAAAATGATATAAAATTATTTTCCCAGGCACTTGCAAGATGGGCCCCGTAACACTCCCTCATCCCAAGGGGGTGAGAAAGTGGAGGAGATAAAGACTCAGAAGGTATTCTGGTATTCTTGCCAAGGGGCTGATAAAAACCTGGGAAAAAAAGGAATGAAAGAAACCCTTTGCTAGTCTCCTCCTCTGCAAACTGTGAAGGAGAGAAATTCAGAGACAAACAAAGTTCTTTCAAACTTAGCTTTTTGTAATTTTTTAAAAAAAAAAAAAAAAGACTAGAGACTAAGTGTATCTAAACAATAGCAGGCAAATACTGAATGACAACTACATGTATCTACACACACTGTAAAGAAAAAATTAACAGAAAAGCTTTAACATTCAAATGTCTGTGAATTCACCGACTTCAAGACATATCCAATCTATTAAGGGTGGCCTCATTCAACCCCCAGGTGCAAAGCTGGGGAGAAGTGAGGGTCTCGCCACACCTGCAGCGCCAGATTGTGCCCCATCACAGCCATCACCAATGTGCAGCTGCATTTTCACAACACACAGCAGATCTACTCACCAACCTGTTTTGAGGCACACTAAGTCCAACCTTTAGCCCCATTTTAATGTGTTATTGTTCCCTAAATCAGTTTGATCTCATCCCACAGTCAGCTCTAACTATGAGGATGAAAAGCTCAAACCTTTTCTCTCTCATGTGAGCATCAATTTTACCATGAGCTTGACCCAGAGTCTCTTGCTGACTTAGTTTGAGCTAAAAGTTTTCACTAATAAAGCCTTAACTCATAAAGCATTTCTGCTAAACAGTTTACAGGAGGTAGGAACTTCACTGCCTCAGTGGTAGCATTCTCTACAGCTCTTTCCTCGCTGTTCTCACATTACACTAGAGCTTTGGTCTACATCATGTCACGTTCCTGCAACCCAGGCTGTCAGGCAATGCTCCTGCTGATCTGGTACTAACCCCCCAAGCCTAAATCCTCTTCCAACAGATTGTTTCCATGCTTCCACAGCAACCTTCCAGCTCTTTTGAACTGCTCTGTAGAAAGAAGGTGAAATGATCTGACTGCATACACCTGTTGTTGTTTCTCCACAAAAGGCCACATATTATACCTGAGAAGCATTTCCTTGAAAATGCATCTTCTCTAGCACAATAGTTGAACGTGGCTTGTGACACACACCAAGATTAAATGCAGAGTCAAACATTGAACAGAAAACCTAGCAGAAGTGTTTTTCTGTATTTTGCTCCCTGTAAGCTATCCTATTCTTTCAAATGGAATTATTATTTCCTGATCCACAGGTTAAATATGTATTGCTAGTTCTACTGCCGTGAGAGCCTACAGAGGTCAATCCTGTAGTGTAAGACAGGATATGGGTATTTAAAAATCAAAAAGCATTTCAGTAAAATGAACACATACACAAAAATTCCTCACTACAGAAACTGCGTAGAATCCTCACGCAGGATAAACAGAGAAAAGTAATACCCTAAGCAATGTAAAATACATCTATGTGGGCATTGGGAGCTACTGGTGTTACTCATAGCAATGCTCCACTCCACAGCGCTGCACCCAGAAACCCCATTCTGCAGCAAGATCAATGCAGCCAAAGCCTTCCTGACACCACAGATGAAGAAGACGAAGAACTGGAAGCAGTGTATGTTTGGGTTTTGGTTTGGGTTTGGTGGGGTTTTTTTCAGTAGTCTTCATTTGCACAGGAAATCAACATCTAGAAAAAAAAATACAGCACTGACAGCTGTAATTAACCTCCTGAATACAGCACAAAATTTACTGCACAGTGGAGGCTACAGACTTTTGACCTCTAGTTCAGAATCACAGAACATCATTGATCTCTTTTAACCCTAATGACAAACTGAGGAGGCACTGGGATGCCTCCTGGCTCCTTCTACACACTCTGCAGGACACAGTTCACCTAGTGCCTTAGGGTACACTCTGCTCAGGACCCAGCATCCAGGTATCACAATCCCAGATAAACACTGACCATCAGACAAGTAGCCCTGTGGCAACTAGAATCTACTGGTTCAAGCTCTGGTTCCACAGCCAGATGCCTTAAAACAAACCCAAGAGGAAACTCCATCCTTGAAGATAACCGGAGACTTCATTCCTAAATTCATGAACTTAGCAAGTTTCCAGCAGTTTCGACGCGCTGAAGAAAGGACTTTGATGTCAATATTGCTGTCGCTATAGCACATTCCCTCTTTAGAGGGTACATTTCACATAAAAGAAAGCCCAGTTAGCAGGTACATTACAAATTCTCCTGCCTGCCAATTTCTTGGCAATGTCATCACAGCTGTAAGCTGCGAGGGCATGGCTTTCTACTGGGTATAATCAAGCTATTAAAAATACATGACTGCTCACTGAACTCTATTAGCAGCTTTCAGCTTCTTCCTTGCCATCAGTCAGGTGTCATCTTCAATTCTTTATCTCTTTAAAACACAGACCACACTGGCCTCATTTTGGTTCTTAGATCTGTAGGTGACCAGAGATGTACCCCCCAAACTGCATATTAACCTTGGCTGCAAAATGCGTATGAAGTATCAGCAGAAATATTACCCCTCTGTACCACTGTAACAGATATCTTGAGTTAATAAAAGCCTATTAAAAATTAATTTTAAGAGCATATCCAACCCTCCACCTGTGGACTTTCTGGGAGATGCTACATGTCCATGGACTGTTGTCCATCTCATCATACTCCGGGGTAAAACTCGTTCATCTGCCTCTTCTTCCATGGGCTTTTCTATTTGTGAACTACTGCAATTTAAATATGTTTTCAAAATACATCAGATGCACTGGACAGAACTGCTGTGATTCAGCACTTACTACACAACCAGCAAAATCACCTCTGCAGAGGGACAGGAAACTGAGGGAGGCAGCTTGGGGCATGTACCAGAATACACCCTCACTCCTCTTTCATCACTACCCTGAGTTTCATGCTGAATAACCCCCAAATGAGGAACATTTCACAGGGAGACACATCCACGAGAAGTTTACTGCAGACCCCCAGACTGACTTCACCAAGGAACCCTCCAGCAGAGGTGGTGATGCAGCACAGCTCTCCAAAGCAAGACTGAGCTCCGTCCCACACAGTCCCATGATTGAGTCATCTTCTAGGTCAGGTCAGCTGTAGCCACCACTGCATCTCAGATTCAAACCTGTAGCTCAAGAAAGCCTGCTAAGTTTTCCATTTACATGTACTGCTGAGGAACAATATTCTTTATAATCAGCTTAATAATACCTGAAATTTTCTTCACAAGACAAATGTGTACCTCTGCGTCCCTACTAATAAGCAACCAATAGAAGGTGACACCCAAACCACATCTTTTGCACCAAAACCTTAATAACCAGATGCAAATATGAGCGCAGCAGTGAGAAGGGAAGGAGCTGAGAGCAACCCCAGCCCTGCAGTAGAAGTGAGCGACTGACACAACATGAAGGCACGTAGATGCCTCCAGCAAATCAAGCAAGTTCAGAGCAAACTGGCTGAGTTTGTGGATGTAGAGTAGCAATGACTGGGCAAGAAGCCTGGACTGGTGCTTGAGGAGGACCAGTTGAGCTGGAGTCTAGAGAAGCAGCTCAAGGGTGCTTGTTTCTCCACACAGGAAGCTGGTGTTGGCCAGGCCCTACAGACCTGACAGCTCTTTGCTAACAGGGTGTGGAGGAGGCTCTAGGTTACATGGGGCGATTGCACTGGGTGCAGAGGCAAAGGCTGGAAGCTTTTTACGGGTTAATATGAGGCAAACAAGAGTCTGACATAGAATGACTTTTCAAAGAGAAGTGGAAGGAATAAATTTGTTCAGAGGTTGAGGGTTACCTAAATGTGGAGTTGCTCAAAACTAATAGTGAAGTAGCTTAAAACTCTCAGTAGCTGACGGGCTAAAGGCAAACAACCTAGGGGTTGACACGTAACAGTGGAAAGAGTAAGAGCTGATTTACACTTAAAGCATAACCTCAACCACTAAAGAAAAAAGGGTACAAGATGGTCAGTGAAAGCCCTGTGAAGAGGGAGGTTTCAGACGCCCCCACATTTGTTGCCTTTGTTAGACACCTGCTTCCCTCCCATCCAGTGCTTCACTTATTCTGAAATATTTTCTGAGCAATAAAGGGTTTTGATGAGTTAAATAAGCTCCAGATAAATAATACAGCCAAGATGACCCTAGAAGGGCCAGTAACTGGACTGGTCAGTTAAAGTCACTTTTTGTGACTGTCATAAGTAGTTGACAAACTACCTGTCACAGTGAAGCTCAACCCAGACTCCTCAGACTAATGCTGTGGTGCATGATGTGCAAGTGCTTGGAAGCCACCCCACAGAAACCACACCCTTGCTGCTGTTTCTGCACCATTCAAGACAGAAAAGCAGAATAAGGCAAGGAAAGAGTTACAGAAATCTCTGGGAGAACAGTGAATAGTGAAACATGACCGTCTTGTAACGAGGTTTCTTCCTTCTGATTCATCTGAAATCAAATCTGTGTGACGTGCAGGGTCAGCGTGACCTCTCCATCACTGGATTCCCACCCTGAGCTATGCTGAATAAATTAGTAAGTACCATTTTCATCATGAGAGAACTATCACACCTGCTTGTGCCCCACATTCCTGGAAACCTCCTGCATAATTTAGAAACCTTGAAAAATACTGGAATTTACCCTCAGTTCTGAGGGAAAAAACTGTCAGTCAAAATAGCTGTGTTTGTATATTTAGTTCCTCCCCCCACATGCAAATGTCTCATGTATTATGCTTAAGACTTGAACTGAGACACTATTTGCATTTTCCTCATTCCTTTGCTTCTTTAGCCAAAGTAAAGAAAAACCCACACCGATA